TTGTCTTCTGTAAAAGAAATAGATTTGCAATAGTACAAAACAGTGTTTGTGAGTAACTTCAACATTGCTGGTTCATGAGGTATATTATGAAACATTGTTCTTAAATTTTGTAAAGATGTAAATAGAACACAAAAAAAATATTCCTGTAATTAAATGGTAGCATTTTTCCATAAATGGTATTGGGAAATTAGAAACAAGAAATCATTTGTAGGTATTAGTAGTGGTGTTATTTCCTCAAATATAAAGGCATATTTCACTTACTTTATTAGCTTAATCAACTTTGGAGCTCTGTAGACTGCAAACTGACCAGAAGTTCATTCTTTTCAAAGCTTCCTTTGTTTAAAGATTCAAATTCTACATCTACACTTGTCAGAAAACTACGGGATAGTAATTCCTTTGCTTTAGTATATTTCCTTAATTTACACTTTTCTGCTATGGACAAAAGAGTTCTGTCTTTGCTAGAGCAACTTGAATTAGTTAATCTGCTTCTTTTCAATACACTGCATAGTGTAAGCAGAGAGAAACAGTACAGTAGAAAGCCCAACCTGACACAACACACCTCTTTTTTATCAGTTTTTTGTTTGTTTGTTTTTGTTGTTTTTTTGTTGTTTTGTTTTGGTTTTTTGGTAAAGGTATGAGGAGATGGAAATGAAATGAGCAAAACATTACTCTGCTTTCACAATGGGGTTGTTTTGTTTAAATTACACCTGTGTTAGAGACAGAAGGAGCTTACTGAGAGAAATTGAAAGATTCTATAGGTTGATGAGGTTCAGAGCTCCCAGGCCACATTTGTACATGAAAGTTCTTCCCCTGAGGAATACAGCATGGTCTCTGCACTTAGAACAGCATTCCATGTGCAAGACATTATCAACAGAGTGATATGTTACTAATTATTCTGTTCTTGTCTTCACTTTCATGAGCATCCAGTAATACTAGTATGTGCAGACACAGATGACTTTTAAATGGACTAAAAATGTTTTTAAAAGTAATTGCTACATTCCTTTGCATCTGATTACAAAGAAAGCCTATCCCATCTAGCTACAGTGTAAATACACCAGTGTTGTTTATTTATTTGTTTTTAACAGAGACACTTTAATGAAAAAAACATATTACCGTAGGGAGATGCTACAGCTCATTACTGTAAGATAATATAATCATTTTAATTAAAATGAGAAAAAAAAATGGCATATGGGATGTTAGGGTGATACAGAGATGTAAGAGGTGGAGGCTGTGCCATCAAGTGCTGAAAAAAGGCATAGTGACACCACTCACATTTTCTGCATTGCTTATGTTACAAACCAGACCTATATATATCTCAGTCTCTCCTAAATGCAGGCAGAAATGAGGTGTGACGCTAGTCACAATCTTCCAGTACGGGAATTACACAAAGAAGGAGTCTGAGCTGCAAACACTGCCTAAGCTTCCCCGCTTTTTGAAAGATGTAAAAGCAGATATTCGGTGATGTCCACCGACCTCCTCCCTCTTTCAATCACTTCATCTCTGCCTAACGCCACCGCGTCCCGTTTCCTAATTTCTGCAGCTCTGAGTTTCACCCGTTCAGCGGACGTCCCTTTCCGAAGACGTGAGCTACCTTGGACAGCTCCCGGCTCTCCCGCCTCTGCTCTTCCCAGCCGTGCCATCCAGTCACCTCCACATGGCAGCGGCGTGCTGCTGCAACTCAGTGCTTAGTTCTGCTGTACCCAACACTTCCATCTTCTCAATAAATAAATAAACAAAAACAAGCAAACAAATAAATAAACCTGTTCTAGTGAAAAATATTCAGCAATACACGCTTCTAGGCTACGTCCCACAGACTAATGAATCAATATTCACATGTCAAACTTGTATTAATTTATTTATTTATTTATTATGACTGGTTTGGTGGTGCTTCAGCAGTGACCTCTTGGAAACAAAGTGAAAATAAAAAAATAGATGAGAAACTTATGAAGTGTGTCTTAAACTGTGCCTTTTCAATCATTTTTCAGAAACCTGTTTCAGAATGACTGAATTTCAGTGATATTTATGTTTTTCACTGATTCGATTGTATGATTTGGAAACAATATAACCCTATTTGTTAGAGGAAGCCTTGAAGCAATCTGACTTGTAAATTGCTTTCATAAGCCCAATAGCCTTAGCTTCAGTAAGGCCAATAGAACAAAAAGACATTAAAACATCTCTCCTTTCCAGTTAGCTACATGAGGCTGCTACTCTGCTGCACCTCTCCTTCTGACACGTAGAAAAAGGTCAGTAAGACAGAAAAAGTACAAGTGAGCCCAACCTTCATCCCTGAGTCACCAGTCAATAAAGAGGATCCAATGCATACCTCAACTCTGTACTAAGCACGAATGAATATCTGAGATCCAGTAATCAGGCAGATCTCTCACTCAAATTATACAAATCCCTGAATTACGGTAGTCTCAGAATTAGTCATGAATCTGAAATTCAGTCAATTTCAAACTCTGAACATGACTTCAGAGGCCCTCATCATTTAGTTTGTTAATCTGAAACAGAATTTCTACTGAGGTAAGAGAAATATGCAATCAAATCTCAAGTGGTATTTTCTTTGAGTAATGTATTTAGGTGCTTTCACCAAAAAGATGTGACACTGCTAAGATATTCTCTGTACAGATTTTAAATCATTTTCCCCTGCAGATAGCTTTGTAAAATAAAGTCCAGTATTTTCAAAAACACAAATAGCAGGCATCCAGTCAAAGGTCTCAAGTGTAATTACAATGTAACTATTCCTAAAGGAATAGCTGTCTGGAGTTAGGAGAGGTCTCTGCCTCTTCAGAGATGAGGACAAAAAGTAACCAGAAAAATTTTTCAGCATAGGAAAGCTACTAGCAAGGACAGATATACCTTGTTAGGACGCTGAGCATGATGTCATCAAAGTGCTGGACTATCAGACACTTTGCAGTATAGTTGGACAGCTTTTGCATTACACTTATGCAATATCGCATGTCTGGTATTTCTAGTCCTCACTGATGCAAATTTTTTTGGAAAGTCTGAATGTATTTTCTGCTTCCAAAACAGTAAGTTATACTCTTCTGCCTATGAATGTAGTCGCTCCAAATTACACTGATCAATAAATCTCAGAGCAATTTCCCAATGTATATTTAGAAAGCACAAGTATGTAATTAGAAAGTGTTTGTGGACTCAGAGTATATTATAAACCCCGAAGCTGTAAAAGGTGACATGTAATGCAACTAAGCCATCCTTGTAAGGATTTAACTTATTTCATGTTCTAGAAATACTGAAAATACACAAATATATACCTTACTGCAAAATGTGATTTGATCCAGAAGACAAAGAATTTTTATAGAAACTTACTCTGCCACATCATAAAGTTCCCCTGAGTTCTGAACTATAATTATGGTGTAGCAGTTAAAATGTTCAAAGACACATTATGAATTTGGATGCCCATCATCATCTCATGACAAACGTCCATTGGGTATTAGCTTAGTGGGATTAGAAGCAAACTATTGCCAGAGCTACCACATTACTGGGCTCTGTGGTACTCAGCATGGTACTCTACCCATACCCACTGGAGAGGGTGAGAGGCAAATTTTGTCTACTTTCCAGTCTACTAACTGGGAAGCTTACAAAAACATGTAAGCTTACAAAAGAGTACCTGGCTAGTGCAGATGAAAAGGTGATTGCACACAAAAACACACACATAGACATCTCCACTTGTTACAGATTTCCAATGTAATCCCTTTGTGCTTCGTATTCAGGACTTACAGATATCCTTCCGCTCACTAAAGAGGCAAAAATAAATGGAGGTGTTTTGAATACTAAATGTGTGGAGGAAAACACTTATATACATAGACATACACCTCTGATCATAGCTTAGAAATGGCTGAGTGGAATTCCTAAACAATAATTCTCTCCTTAACAAACATACTCAGAAATTAATACGTTCCAGACAGAACCCTAATCAGCAGAAACATCACCTGAAAGAGAAGCATCCAAAGCCACCAAGTGTCATTAATGAAGCATCTAAAGCAGTCCTTCCCTACAGAAGCAATTATGTAAAGGAAGGTCTCCTTGCTTAGCATAAAAATAATCACCAGAAAGTAACAAAGAAGGCATATAGCTTACACCATAAAGAAACATGTCTCTGTCCTAGTCATTTTGTCAGATTAACTGTGCCCTTTTGCCCATCTACTGATCAGAAAGCACCTTCAGAAACTTGCCAGCAAGCTGAGGAATAACTCTATGTTTAAAAGGACATCCCAGAGAACCTCACTGTGAACTGTGTGCCACTGCCAAGCTTTTCTGGCCCCTCAGACCATCATGCAGCTGCTACAATGCTTTCCTGCAGCAGCCCCAATTACAGTGATGCTCCTACCTGTATCAAACTGAAGGCACTGTCAGCCCAGCTATATTCCATGAGTCCAGCTAGCTCTTCATGGGCAGTCCCCATTCACAGGCCTTCAGCTTTCTTTGACAGGCCACTCACAACCGTGCTCACAAGGCCAGCATGCCTTCTATCACTAGCTACACAAAGGCAGCCCAAGGCTTAGCCCACCATAGGCCTGCTGAGGACACCCACAGCAGCCCAGCACAAACAGTTCCCATTTTTCCAGTCGGCGTAGTGCTCTCGTGGGTTTTCCCTATACAGTTTTACCCTGCTAGTCACCAGACTTTATGACGATGGATGCACGGGAACCAGGCCCAGCCTGCCGCCGCGGCGCCCTGTCACTGCAGACCTGTTCTCCATAGGCACAGCTACACTGCGCCCCGGCTGCGCACCGCACCTCAGCCCGCCCGGCACCTCGTCGCCAAGGGAGGGCGGTCGATTCCATGCCTGCAGTTAGAACCATCAGCGCCGGCCGTGACGAGAGCCGGGGGGCCGCCGCCCCACACCGCACACTGTCCAACCCCTCTGCCGCAGAGCGCTCCTCGCTGGCACTGCTCGAGCTCCGGTCTGGCTTGTTCCAGGCAGGGCCGGGCGGAGGGCGAAGGCACCGCGCTCCCCCTCACGCTCCCTCACTTACCCAGCAGCACGGCGACCAGCGTGCTGAGCAGGAGCCAGTTCTTCCTCAGGAAGCCCAGGCAGCCGCATCCCTTCCTGCCTGCCTTCACCATGGTGGTGGCAGTGATAGGGTCGCCGGGCCTGGGGCGCGCTGCTCGGAGCCGAACCGCCCTTCTCCGCGCTTACAGCGGGGAGGCGGAGACGGGGCTCTCACCTGGCAACAGTGGAGTCCGGCCCGCGGCCCGCCCACGGTCCGCCCACGCTGCTTCCCGCCCCCTTCCCTGTCTTCCCTGCCGCCCCCCGCCCGTTCGGCTAGGCTACGGCGTGGTGTCCCCGCTGTGCTGCCCCAGGCGCAGCGCCTTCCTGCCGGCTTAGGGCTCGGGGAAGGAAGAGCAGAGAGCCGGGTCCTTTCGCTTAGTCCGCGGGCTCGCTGTCCGTAGCGCTGTCCCTCTCTGACCCCGCAGCGCAGAGTGAAGCCTCCGTCCCAGAGAGAAGGGCAAAGAGGCGGGCAAGCCGGCCCCCGCGGCAGAGGAGAGCTTGTCCCCCGGGATGAGCACTGTGCCTGGAACCGTCCCGGACGGAGGAGTCTCTGCGTCTCCGTGCAGAAGTGGCTGGGGATGTTGTGCTGTGGCCGGTGGAAAGCCGGCATCGCTGTCACTGGGGATAGCTTCTAGTTAAATAGCCAGGTGAAATGTTCTACGATGTATTCCTGGTGAGAAAATGGAGGCTGGGGAGTATAAAAATGGTTCTCAAGATTTGCCACTGGGATTTATACCAGAAGCGTTCATTTCTATGCGATGGTCTTCTGCGCCCTGTAGCTCATAAGCATGACTGGTCAGTACTGTATTGGGACTCAGTTCCCTGTGGGGAACTTTATAGTAGGGTCTTCACTTCATAAAAGTGATGATTCTAATTTTCAAACATGAAGATTAATCAGTAAATTAAATGAGAAAGAAAAAAAAAAATAATGACAAGAGTACCAACAGGTAGAAAGAGAGTACAGAACAAAAGATTAGTTTATATCATTACACTGACACTACTAACCCTAATCTTATTGCCTTATTTTTCCAGTGTCTTGAACACTTGCAGTAATTTGTCTACTTCTATCACCATCAGGCAGATGTAATTAAAAGTAAAAATTAAAAAAAAAAAAAAAAAAAAGAAGCCTAGTGGTAGAAAGGAAGTATAATTTTCATTTTAGTTTAATTAAATAATTAAATCAATCAATCAATAAATTAAAAAAGACTGCTTGAAAGGAAAGCTGGCATACTGCCATGTTAAAAAGCCAAAGAAAAAGCTAACCAAAAATAACTAATGCAAAGAAACAGCAAGGAGTGGCATGCTTACATTCAGAGTTTAGTAAAGAAGGGTATCATTATACTACTGTCATGGAAAAAGTGTAAAAAGAAAACGGGCATGTTTCAGGAGTTTCAGGATGGTAAGGAGCAGGCCTACGAGAACAGAGAGTATTGTTTTTTTTTTCTTTTTCAACATGACCTTGAAGAAAAGGAAATTATAACTCATGTAGAAACCTAAAGAAGCATTTTTGAAAGGCTTAGGCAGGTGAAATAGAACTGTTTTAAATATTCTCATGAGCAAGCTGTTTTTAATTTGATCTTCCTATTACAAAATGACAGATGCTGGCTTTGGTCCTGGATATAGAGTCAAGCTGGCAGTTTCGGTATGGGGAGCTAAAAAAAAAAAAAAACTGTAATAAAAATGTCCCAATAAAATGCAAAAGAATTGAAGCTCATGGGTCACTCTTGAAACACTGAAGTTAATTTAAAAAAAAAAAAAAAAAAAAAAAAAAAAAAAAGGAACACAGCTATAGAAGACAGAAAGAACTAATATTTTTGGAGACTAGCTGTTTGTGAAGCTATCAAACACACTGCTGAGCAACAGGAATACAAATTTAATGTAAACAGTTTCTAGCAAGAGATATCAAGGATCCTGCATTAACTATGAAGTAGATTGGATGTGTGTATGAAAAGATGTCAATGCACTTTAAGTGTATAAGTAACAGGAATACACTCTTAAGCCACATTGCTATTAAAAAGTTCTCAGAATATATTACAGATAAATTTGTATGAATGACAATACGGTTTGGAGTTTTGTGGTCTAAATCTGTGTTAAATGCTAATGAAAGGCATAGATGAATGAACTGTGAAAATTAGGGCCTTTGCATGGAGAAATGTGAAATGCATTTACATGCCTGATTCTTTTCTTGAAGTCTCTCTGCATTGCTTTGTTGTAGATCTGAGTTTATACATAAATTCATAAATAGCTATTTGATAAGTTTTTACCACTTGCTGGCCTGATGTTTAGCTCTGGGTCTCAATATTCATTTACAATACGTAGAAATATCTTAACAGCGTTTTAAGTGAATTACTTAAGAACGTAAGTAATTTCACTGCTAGAAATATTTCCCAGGTGTGAAATGCCTTTTTGAGGCATCCAAATGTTTCAACTAGGAGAAGCAGGGATATCCTACAGAAGCATATACAGCACAGTATAGTGCACAGCCTAGCAAGTGAAGAGTTCTTCATACTCCTTAGGAGCTATAGATACTAAATCACAAGGAAAAGCTGAATTTAAGGGGGCTTTTTTATTGTTCGTATTGCATCTTTGAAATTACACTGATATATCAGAAATATTTAGCACAGATTCAATAAATAAATAAATAAATAAAATTCTAATATTCTACCTAGAATGCAGATAGAATAACTGAGGTTTTTTTTATTATTTGAAACCAGTCCACAAGATGGGAAGTTTGCAACTATTTTTTTTCATTCTATGAAGCCAGAGACCACATAGGAAATATGAAAACATAAAGTAATTGGTTTCTGTCTAATACATAGAATCCTTAATGAGAAAATAATACAGTAAAAAGGATTATGTTTTAAGTACTGTAAACATTCCCAGTTGTCATCCTTTGCCACTGTACCATATTGCTTCTCTGCTTTCTTTTACTATTAATGCAACTACAAGTCTTTTGGTTTTTGGAATACAGCGAGCTGAAGACTATAAACTTTATGTAGTTAACTAAGCATAAGTCACCAAACGCAGTGCTTTTAACTCCAAATTCCAGAATTAGGTCATTAGCAAAGTCACCTAACTTCGGTTGTATTTTTCATCTTTCTTGCCAAATGTGAAGGATGAAATTAGAGGTGGAAATGAAAACAGTGATCTTGGATCACTGTTCAGTTCAAGAGCCAAGACTCAAGGAAGTGGACAAAGCTGTTCATTACATGTTTAAGAATAATCTACTGTTACTAAGCATCCAAAATTGCAGGTTCCTTCCTGGAACCTGCACTTCTTGACATCTGAATTCTAAGCTTACATGCCTCATCTGCTATATAAAATAGCTGGACAGGCCAAAAAATTCTGGACATTAAAATAAGTAAAGAAATGAGACTTGATTTTGACATGCTCTGGCTGTCCCCTGGGGCAGAGCTGGCAGGGTGCTGCTTTTTATTTATGTTTGGAGGTTCAGTTTACAGGGCAATAATGAATTTGTTCGCAAAAAAACTTTTTTAATTCAATGCAAGTTAGATTAAAGGTGCTGAAGATATATAGGTGCATACTCTCCTAGTATGTGTAACTAATCTGATCCACTTTTTAGAAAACTTTAAAAACTCACTTATTTCTATTACAGTAGCTGTTTCTGAAACACAGAGGAGTCCTTTTATCTACTTCTAACTTCCAGTAAGATTTCCAGTAGCTGCTTTATCTTCCTTTTGCGTGGGCTTTTCTGCTGTGGTACCAAACACGCTCTAACCCTTACGAAATTAGTTATTCTATTTTCTACAATTGAGGGCTTGGGATTTCTTAATTTTTTTTTTCTTTTTTTTTTTTTTTTTCCATTATTGCTCATTTAATGATCAAAACACATTCTGTGTAGGTTAAATAGAATAGATTTGGCCTAAAATAAAATTTTGTTAAATGAAACCCTGTGCTAAATCTATGAGATTTTTTATCAAAAACAACAGTCACAGCTAGGAGGAAGATGACATCTGAAGCTGGAATTTCTAATTACCAATGTATAGCCACTTCATAATGGTACATTTTCCCTACCAAAACCAAATTTGGTTCTATTAGCTAAATATTAGTTTTATTAGTCACTTCACACTGTGACTTTAGAAGAATTCACCCATGCCCAACTAGTATAAATGGGTAATGATAAAATGCTATTGAAGTTCTTGATAGTGGTGCACCTGCTTGCTACATTTTTAAATCCTTAAAACCACTATGTCCTAGATCACTTTCATTTTTTTTTGTTCACATTTTATGTGAATATTACCACAGAATTTGATGGAAACTGGAACAAAATCATGATAATCTTAGGAATTTGTATCAATGAAAAATGTTTTTATTGTTTTCTTTCTCATTTTAATAAATGCAAGCAATTCATAAGGTACTTGTAAGTTTGCCTGTCTGCACACCTTGTATGTTGTAAGAGGATAGGGTTGCAGAGTGAGAAGGTGGCATAAAAAGTGTTTTGCAAATAAAGATTCTGATGGATATATGGAAAAACCATAATCTGCAAACACAGAAGTTTTCCAAAGTCCAGCAGTTTTCACCTGCTAGAAAGTATTATGAAATAGCTGTGAAGTGAGCAAGCAGCTGTAAGAATCCATGTGCATGTTTTGCAATTGCTTTTAAAAATAGTCCTTCTTTTTTGTTAATAATTTAATTTGTGATGTGCATGAAAAGAGCTAGAAAAGAGCTAGACCAACATGACTGCAGTTTTCCTTCCTAAATACATAAAAGAATGAGTTTAAATAACATACACTTCCCACTGCACTCTGCACTAGTCTCATATGAGAAGAATCTTTGTTAGTAATAAGAAATGAATTCATTATGCATGCTGATTAAAAACTTCTGTTACAGAATCACAGAATCACAGGCATTGGGAGGGACCTCAAGAGATCACATCCAATCATCTCTGCTAAAGCGGGTACCCTATAGTAGTTTGCAAAGTTACATGTCCAGCTGGATCTTGATTATTTCCGTATAGGGAGGCTCAATAACTGCTTTTTCAACCTGTCCCAGTGCTCCATCACCCTTGTGTAGAAGTTCTTCTGCATGCTTGTATGGAACTTCCTGTTTAACTTTTATGCCATTACTCCTTGTCCTATCCCTACATACCAACAAGAGTTCCTCGAAAGCATTTAAAAATGCCTGGCAGATAATTTTAGTAGAA